GAAAGAGAAAAAAGAAATAAAAAGTTTTGGTTTGATAGTTGAAAAGAAAGCAAAAGAACTAGAAGTAAATGAAATAAATATTTGTCCGACTGTTCCACTTTCAGTAATTCATCCATGAATAATTCCTGATCCGATTGTTGATTTAACATTGCTTGACAAGAAGAACAAAGATAAGGTATTTCATATGTACCCACAAAGAATAAAGACATACTTAGATAATTATTATTATGGCTGTGTTCAGATTTATACAGATGCTTAAAAAAATTCAGTTAATAGAATTGGCATTTCAGTAATAGTTCCAGAATTCAGCGTTACATTTTTCAAAAGAATTAGTGATGGACTATCAGTGTATACGGGAGAGATGATGGCAATTTTGTTGGCATTGCAATGGGTGGAAGAGGTGAGACCTATGAGAGCAGTAATATGTTCTGATTCTAGTTCTTCTTTAATAAGTTTTAATAATAACAAATCATAAGGAAGACCAGATGTTTTAATAGACATGCAACAAACATTATATAGGATTCAAATGATGGGCATAAATGTAATACTTGTATGGATACCAGCACATATAGGAATAAAAGGAAATGAATTAGCTGATAAATATGCAAAGGAAGCAACAAAAAAGGATTGTATTGATATTATGGTTCCATTCTGCAAAGCTGAAATGAAAACTATTATCAAGTTTAAATTGAGAGAAAGGTGGCAAAAGCAGTGGGAAGAAGAGAGAAAGGGAAGGTGGTTCTACAGAATTCAAAGGAAAGTAGGTGGGATGAGAAGTACTGGGAGAACTCGTAAAGAGGAAAGTATCATTTCTAGGATGCGATTTGGTCATACAGCATTAAATAGTAATTTATTCAAAATGGGAAAACACAATTCAGGAAGATGTGACTACTGTTATGAAGAGGAAACTTTAGAACATGTTATGCTTTATTGTCAAAAGTATGTTTATGAGAGAAAGGCACTGATATTGAATCTCAAAGAAAGTAAGATCAAATATGATTTACAGGATCTTTTACAGAGAAACTCATCAGAGAAGTGTTATCAATTTGTGATTCAGTATCTTAGGAGAACAAAACTGATAGAGAGAATCTAATTTCTTCTTTGGGGAACCACACTCCGTACCAGCAGGTGGCGGTAATGCTGCTTAAAGCTTGTTGCAAACCGCCAATAAAATCAACAAGAAGAAGAAGAAGAATTTCTTCTTTTTTTTTTTTTTTTTTTTTTTTTTCTTTCATATATTTATTTATTTATTTTTTTATTTAATATGAAAGTGTCAAATCTCGATCCACACTCCATACCAGTAGGTGGCGGTAATGTAAAGAAGAAGAAGAAGGATATTTATCCCTGTCATCCATTCATGTAAGTTTGTCATTATTGTATTATATTTGTTTACGTATGTATGAATGTTGTATTTACTTTAAGCCACAGGATTTTATCTGCAAATGTATAAGCACTTAAAGTTAAGACTGGCTAAATGAAGATGTCAAACGTCCAACGTTCAAATGTGCAACAAAGAAGGGCAACAACTTGGACTGTTTCTACTTTTTTGTCAACATAGGAAACAGTCAATATCTCTCTCATATGATGATTTAACATTGCTCCTAACACCAGCCTATTTGACCCTTATTAAAAACAGATTATTATTCAAAACAGAGCCAAGGTCCTTCTGTGTGTGGAGAATTCTAAATATTCAGGTTAGCTAAAGCTACTACTAGTAAAACGACAGGTTACTGTACTCATGTACTGACAAGTATTTACCATCCATCCATTATCAATACCGCTTATTCCCTCATGGGGTCGCGGGGGGAACTGGAGCCTATCCCAGTGGTCAACGGGCGAGAGGCAGGGTACACCCTGGACAGTCCGCCAGTCCATCGCAGGGCCAAACAACCACTCACACTCACATTCACTCCTAAGGGCAATTTCCCCAATCTCCAATCAGCCTAACATGCAGGTTTTTGGACTGTGGGAGGAAGCCGGAGAACCCGGAGAGAACCCACGCAGACACAGGGAGAACATGCAAACTCCACCCAGAAAGGTCCTGGTTCCCAGAACCCTCTTGCTGGGAGGCGACAGTGCTAACCACCACACCACCGTGCCGCCCGTCACAAGTATTTACCCTCTGATTTTAACTCAATTTAAATACTTTTAAAGCTTTGAAAGGAGGGACTCTCAAAATTCAAGATCTTTTTATTGTCATTTCACAGCACTGTAAAATGAAACTAGAATAGGCTGTTCCTGCGGAACAGCTGTGATAATGCCAAATGTGGAATGAAGGAACCAAAAGAAGCCAAAGAACAGCTGGAAAAAAAAACTGAAGAGTTTAAGAAGAAAGGCAAAAGGATTAAAAGAAGAAATGCTGATGGGAGGAACCAGAAGAAGCCAAAAAAAAGCTGAAGCCATAGAACTGAAGAGTTGAAAAAGAATGACAATAATGAGCAAAACGCCATTAAATTATCAATAAGGTACCAGAAGATGTTAATGGTATTTGAACTGGTAACCTCTTAAGCTACAGTCAAATATTCTACCACTGAGCTTTACTCCAGTCAACTAGGGTGCATGATTATCAAATTCACAGATCAATTAATGCTTTATTCTTTACAATGATTATAAAAATGTATTACTCTGATGCTTTCTATTCCAAGCTTCAATAGCTATATATTCTAATTGAACTCCCTTTGCTAACAAACTAAATTGAATTCCTCTTTTTAAAAATGTTAGACAACCCTCTCCTTGAACCTAATTTCTCTTTTTACGCACACCAGTATATCCATTGATAACAAAATCTAAATTTGGTTTGAGCCAAAAGTCCTCTATACATATACATATTTTTTTTTATCAGTCTTTTAAATTCTTGTCAATCTTTGAGCATTCCATTTTAATATATTAAAAGTGTCCCTATCCTCCCATCTCCTCCCAATCGTTTATTTATCTGTTCCCATGAAATATCTTTCATACCGAAGAACTTCTCTGCTCCTTTTGCAATTATTAAAATGTCCTCAGCTTTGTACTCAACTTGATCTGCACATTAATCACAATGAACAACCTGTTTTTCTCCACTGTAATTACAGGTTCAGTTCTCACTTTTGATATTAACTGAGAAATTGCATTTAGTTTAACATTTGCCATTCCTTACCTGTTACAAACCAGTTTATGCCATTCATTCGCTACCAGTTCATATGTTATCATAGCATTCTATCAGTGTAACTTCCTCAGCAATGTTAGTCCGATTCTTTAGTTAGAAACCTGAGAATAAACGAGAGTAGATCAAGAGTACAAATATGACATTTATTGGGTCACAGGTAAATTATATCAGTGCTGGGCTCTCACAGACACAGTTCCCCGAGGATCTCAATCGACAAGAGCCCTGAAATCCGGGTGTGATGGATATTTGTCTTCTTGGCTGGGATTGCCCCTTAGAAAAGGAGGACTGGACTCAACTGACTGTTATTGGCCAGTTACCTCTGACATGAACAGGCCAGCTCCTAATTCATGCAGATTACATTGGAATGTGATAACAAAGTGTGTGTGTGGATGTTGACCTTAAAGACCTGTATCTAATGCAACAGAGAGAGGAAGAGAATCTCTGGGCACACCCACACAAAAGTATAGTTCTAAAAGGAATGACAATCAGTAATTTACATGGATTATGTAATAACATACAATGCTAAAATTAGTAACCATAGCCCAGTTCTGACAGCAACGACAATATGCTTAAATCTGTTACCGATCCTGTACTGAGAGGAGAGGCATCCTAACCTGGTTGTGAGCAGCTGCCTTAAAGAGACCCTGACAGAGACTTGTTGCTACAAATATTTGTATAACATGACTATTCTAAATCACTGCAAGGCAAGAGATAAATACTAAAACAAGAGGAAACTCTTCTGAAATTACCCTGGTTACACTTCCAATTATCCAGAAACATCTGGATGGAGAACTCGAGATTGGAGAATGTTGGAGAGAGAACCTAAGTCAAAGTAAAATATTTACATTAAAGGATTTAAGGAGACAAAAATTCAAAGTAAATATGTGAAAATTTAATAACAAGAGAATCTGCCAGAAACTACATACATACAGGTTTTAGTCCATGTTTTCTTTTTTGCCGCCTCTTTTCCTGGTGAGCCCTTTTCAATTAAGAAATTCAGAAGTGATGTAAAATCAGCACAAAAAGTCCAAATGCAAAATGACAAAAGAAATTGTACGATATTGTATTTAAACATGTTGTATCAAAACAAAGTTAACAAAAATATACATGTCGACAACATTAGACTAAAACTACTTTAATACGGATGTCTGACAGAAACGAAGATGAACATACACGTATTACTTCCTCTTGACAAAGCACTCTCTGACCAGCTGACAGCGAATCACATAGCAGCTTTATGCTGGGGAGGAAGTAAAACCTGTGTGTGCTAATGCTTAAGTGCTAGTTTGTTAGCATACCTCCGTAAGTGAGAGTTGTTTTCATAATATTTTCATTTGACGATTATGTACCGCAAAATGCCAGGTAGCATTGAATCATTCAATTGATTCAGTTCATAAACTACTTATAAGCTTTGTCAAATAAGCCACGTTCATGAAATGATGCAAATGTCAACATCACTGGAAAGGTAGAGTTGCTAGGAGTTTGAGCTATTTGGAAAAGCGCTAAGGTATGGCTGAAAATCTTGTAATTAATGTATTTTAGTGTGTACATATTAAAACCTTAAATATTACTGCGTTGTTTAAGTTGCATATGCATTAAGTGCTTTCAAAAGGGAGCCGTCTTTACTTTTGATACCTCTTTCTGTGTTCTCCAAGTAATTATTAAAGCCCAAGTTTACAATTGTCTCAACTGATTACTGCGTGAGAAAAATAAGTGAGAAGATTACAATGTTTTGCGACTATTGTTTTAAAAATACCGAGATGATACGTTTTAACAAATACTCCACACGGCTGAAATGCTTGTTTTCTTTCATAGTCTTATTAAATAACGTATGTCTTTCCTCAGTTGGCTCATCATGAAGACAAATAAGTCATATAAACTTGTACTGCACAAGAAAGGTTTTGGTGGAAGTGGTAAGAACAACTTAGAATCCATAAGCAAACATAATGGACTTATGCTTTAATTTATAGTGGTAATTTAGATTTAAGGTTTTAATTGACATTATTCTTTCTTAACAGATGATGAGTTGGTTGTCAACCCTAAGATCTTTCCTCAAGTTAAGTTGGGTGATATTATCGAGATTGCACACCCTACAGATGAATACAGGTGAGACAGGGAAAGATGACTATTCTTTTAAAGCTGTTTTGTAATCTGTTTTTGTTTACATATCATTCCACTATTGAGCCTTAATATGACTTTGTCTTTCAGTCCGCTCTTATTGCAAGTGAAGAGCCTAAAAGAAGACCTTCAGAAAGGTAAAATAATTTTGGCCATGGAAATTCTGTTACACTACAAAAATGGAAAATATGAATGGAAAAAGAGTAGCTTGTTGCTGCAGCAGTTACCAGCAGGATGGAAAAACAAAGACTACACATCAAAGAAAATTGGTCAATAAAATTATAGGTGTATTTATTGGGAGCCCAGCTTAAACTTTTTTACAAATGGTACCTTGTCATGGCTGCAAAGTAGGTGCATTCGTAGTTTTTGTTTCTTGCCTTGATTGTGAATTTTTAAATGTTGAGAAATGGTAGCCTGATGTTTATTTTCTTATTCTTTTAATTCTTTCAATTGTATTGCTTTATTTAAGAACAACATTTTGTCCCTATACAGAGACAATCAGTGTCGACCAGACTGTAGCACAAGCCTTCAAGCTGCGTGCCTATCAGGATGTTATTGTTAACATTGTCGACCCAAAGGTATGTTCACTTAAAGTTCTCTGCAGTTCTTTGAATAAAAGTTCAGCAAAACTCATTTATAGATTTTAAGAAACAATAACCTCACCTTGATTGTGAACAAAACCAATGAGACAATTGTAGATTTCAGGAGAAAAAGAGTTAGATCAAACCCTGTTTTTTATTGTGGGAGAAAAAGTGGCTGTTAAAGGTGTAATCTCCCCTGCTGTCATCTGTTGGGGCAGCAGCATCAGAGCCAGGGACCTAAAAAGGCTCAGTAATCTGATCAAAAAGGCTGGTTCTGTTCTGGGGATGACATTGAAACATCTAGAGATGACAATGCAAAGAAGGATTTTGCATAAAATAAAGAATATTATGGACAACCCTTACCATCCTCTTCATGAGACTGTAATTGGAAAAAGAGTATCTTGAGTCAGAGGCTTCTTCAGATTGGTCGAAAAGGGACTGCTACTGAAGATCTTTCCTTCCCATAGCCATCACACTCAATAATAACTCCTTAACTCCAATATCAATATTTAATTTCCCTCTGGGATAAATAAAGCATTTTTTATTTTAATTGAATTTTTTGTTTATGTTTTCCATCAAAGGATGTAACACTGGACCTGGTGGAACTAACGTTCAAGGATCAATACATTGGCAGAGGAGACATGTGGAGACTAAAGAAGAGTTTGGTGAGCAATGAAAACGATCTTTCATTGTATGATGGTTTCTGCAACTTTTATTTATTCATTTATTTGCATTTCAGGTGAGCACATGTGCCTATGTCACCCAGAAAGTGGAATTTGCAGGAATCAGGTAAAATACACAACATATATATATATATATATATGGTTCGGTTCGTGTCACGGTTTTCGGTTCGGTTCGGTATATGGTGATTGTTAGGAAAATCTATTATGTCTTGTATAGTCAGGTTAAAACTAAGGATGGGGATCGTTAATATTTATTGATATCGATACTTTTATCGATACTCCTTATCGATCCGAGTCTTTATCGATACCACTATCGATAATTTTCTGTTATTTGGTGGAAAGACGATGCGACAATATTTAACAAATAAATAATTGTATTTTAAATTAAATGTAATTTTTAATAAATGTTGGCATCAGTAGTTTAATTATATATTCTAAAATAATTAGAGCAATATACAACTGTATTACTCATGTTTCTCGCCAAAAACTCAATTTCCCTTTTCTTTACGTTACACTTGAACGCCTCATGATAACCTAATTGTCGTTTTACTGAGCCAATCTGAACACATCATCACGCAGAACGTCTGAAACTTTATTTACTTTTCAAGCTAACTAGCTTGTATGCTGCCGATTACAACACAGATTTCACAATTACTATTGTAATAATAAAAAAAACGACCAGACTCGATAGTGGTATCGATAAGCCCAAACGTTATTGATTTTCGGGTTTTGAAAAAAGTGGAACCGGGTCCTTGATAGAACCGGGTTTCGATCCCCATCCCTAGATAAAACTGAAAGAAAAAAGCAGTCTGAAATTTGATACATTATTGTGACAGTCTTAGGTTAAAAGTAGGTGAGATTCTGGCATTGCCAGAGAGGAAACAGTGCTAATTCCAACATGTGCTTCCCTCTAAATGCAAACTGGTCCCATACAGCAGACCTATAAACTGCTGTAGGCGCGTCGGATTTTTATCAGCTACGCTGCTTTACTTCTTCTTCTTGTTTCCTACTGGTGGTTGGCTTTGGGCGCAGTAGCGCCCCCTTCTGGTCTGGAGTGTAAACGCTTCCCTCTGAGAAAAAGGAGCAGTGCATGAACCGTGCGGTACACACGCGAACCGAAGCGAGACAGTCGAACCGAACGGTTCAGACGGTTTTCAGAAACCGTCCCATCCCTAATATATATATATATACATACATACTAAACGTTTGGTGCGTCTGCTCTAAGAAATAGTGCATTTAAAATAAAAAGGCATACAAAAGATATGATAGATACTTTGGAACATTTAAAACTTAATTGTCACAAAAATGACTGCACCCTCCAACAAAGTGCTTTCCCAATCAAGTGTGAAAAATTAAATGCTGACATCAATTAATTCTTTCCATCTTCGATTATTTCTTAGTCCAATTAGGTTTGAGGACTGAAGACCATACCAGCTGCCATTGGGCAAGAAGCAGCCAGACAGAGTATACTTTTTAAAGCGTGAAGAGTCCATCTCAAGGCTAAGCAATCCAGACAAACAGCCATCATTCTCGCATTCAACTCTCGGGCAAATTTAGAAATTAACCTAGCATGCACGTTTTAAGTTAGTTGAAGCCAGAGTACCTATAGAGAACCCACACACACACATGGAAGACCTGCAAAGTCACACCCATAGATACAGTGCCAACCACAATTATTGGCACCCCTGTTTAAGATGTGGTTGAGGACTTCTAAATATTCTTTTTTTTTTAAAAACAACATTCAACCCAAATGCAATAAAAGAGAAAAATCCAACCTTTTATTTAACCTTTGGTGGTAAAAATATAATCACACATTTAAAAAATAAAAAACGTGAAATCATGTGTCCTCATTATCTAGTCCTCAACCACATCTTAAAAAGGGGTGCCAATAATTGTGGAGGGCACTGTACTCTTGCAAGATGATGATGCTACCTAAAGGCTCAAGTTATGATCAATATATAATGTTACTGAATTAAAAAAAAGCAGGTGTTCACAAAGCCAACCAACAGCTTGCACTAGCAAAGCCAACAAAATGACAATACTAGTCACTATAAACCTCGCAGTCACCTTGAAATATGATTTGATCTGAGAGCGGTGCCAAATTAAAAAAATATAAAAAAATGTAATAAAATGGCAACAATACTAAACAACGATACCATCAAGGCCAAAACATTGAGTGAATCTTGTGTTTTCACAAATGTCACTTCTGCATACTGAACAGATTTCCAGGTGATCCTCAAACCTTCTCCCAGCAAAGCCTCTAAGATGCTGACTGCTCCATACTCAAAACGATATACTTCAATCTGGCAATGCTGTTAGTGGCAGTTCAAATGTATTCAATGAAAAATAAAATTCAAAGTCTAGTTAAAAAAAAAAATGAAATTCCCTTTTTTAATTATGTTTGGTTTATATCCAGATTAACATCAGCAGAATATTTAACCCTATATGCAACACCTTTGGTTATTTACCACAGGGTAGATTTTTGTTTTTATATACAGTATATATATATAACCAGAAATTATTGTCTGTCTGTATAAAGGTTCATAAAGGAGCCAAAGGATCTAATTAAACTTGATGTATACAAATGTTGTCTTTGTTTTCTTTTTATTTCTTGCCCTCCCCCACCCCCCAACAAAAACAAACAAACAGACGTACATGTCATTTTTCCTTTTTTTCAGAGCTCAGGCCAGTGAACTATGGGTAAAAGGAGAAAAAGTAACCTGTGGATACATCAGTGAAGATACTAGGGTGAGTGCTTTTGTTGGCGATATGACAAGCCTTTGTAATGAAAGATTTATTGTGCATCTTAAGCAAGAAAAAAAAAGATGTAGTTTCAACATCAGAAGATTATACTGCACAGGAGTATATATGGTTCCAAACAGAAAAGACCAATACCACATGCTTTTGTGGTATTGTCATCCCGATTTTGTTACATAGGTGGTGTTCAGATCAACATCTGCAATGGTATACATCTTCATCCAGATGAGCAGCGAGATGTGGGACTTTGATATCTACGGTTAGTTTTGAATAAGCATTAAAGAATAGAAGATTGCTGACAGAATTTTCTTTTGTGTTATGCTTCTCAATTTAGATATGAAATATTATTCTTTTAGGTGATCTTTACTTTGAAAAGGCTGTAAATGGTTTCCTTTCTGACCTTTTTGCCAAGTGGAAGGTGCGTTTTATTTATTCATTTATTTTTTGGCCTTATTTGTTGGCTATAAGATTTTGTTTCAGTGTTTTGTTGTTGTTTTCCAAATTCAACATTTGCATTTTTTAAATCTTAAACAGGAGAAGAACTGCAGTCACGAGGTTACAGTTGTTCTTTTTTCACGTACATTTTACAATGCTAAAACTATGGGTAAGTCTTTTTTTTACCATCTTTACTTTGAGTTATAATCCATATTAACACTCCAGGAATGTTAAAAAAATACAATATCTAACTTGCTAATATTATCAGAGGAATTTCCAGAGATACTGAGAGGGTCTATCAGACAGGATCACGAGGGACGCTTTTATGAAGACTTCTACAGGTAAGCATGTTTATGTAATAAAAATGATGGCAGGATTTGAGAAAAGACATACACTCTTTTGTGACCAGGGTTGTAGCTCAGAATGAAAGACGTGATGAGTGGACATCATTACTGATCACTATCAAGAAGCTCTTCATCCAATACCCCATCCTGGTGCGACTGAAAGAAACGGGTATAAAATATTTCTGAAGTTTTCTCATATTTTGGATTAGATTCGATTTGTTTTACCAAGTATGTTTTCATTTCCTTGATGCAAGATGGTTTTCCAATGGGTTATAACTCCACTGCTGCCCAAGGGAACTACTTGGAGGCCATTAACCTATCTTTCAATGGTAAAAAAAAAAATTAAAAATCATACTACTCCAACATTATTTATTTATTATTAGTTATTTTTTGAAAATGATAATGATTTCATTAAATGAAACAGTTGAGGGGATTAAACTTTAAACTGAAGACTTTGAAATCATCCGCATTTTTGCAGTTTTTGTGATTGTTTTAATAGACAGTTATAAAAAAGACAGTCATGATTATCTCTGCTTAGGAAGTCGACAGTAACACTATTCCACTTTAATCGTCTTATAAATTGAGACATTTCTAGAGCATAGAAGACTTTGTGTATTGGCAAGATTATAGTTTTATTGTTAAATGTATCTCTATGTTACTTTAACATGTTATTGAGGTGTGTAAGCCAAGTAATTCGTCTGAATTACTGTATGTTTCAGGCTTTAGTAATCCTATTTAAAACAGTTAACATTGCATAATAATGTTATGATAAAGTAGA